TATTTCCAAACTTCACTACACAAGCATTTTCTAAACTTTGAAAATCACGCAAATTCTCCTTCTTTCCAGTCATGTGACGTGAGCAACCACTATCAATATACCATTTCTCATCACATAGCACCTGCAATCATTGGAAGAATTTAGGTACCCAAGGCTGTTTGGCTCCTTGGTTATTAGCTTGAAAGAAAGAAGGAATTTTAGAATTGAAAGCCCAGCTTCAAACTTTAGTTTTACAAGAATCAGTTAAGTCGACATCATCATTTAAAGATATCGAAATATAATTTTTCAATAGTTTTGGACTTTCAACAACTTTCTTCTCATGTTTCGTAGATTATCTTTCTTTTGAGATTGGTTTCCATCCTTGAGTTAGAGTATTTGATTCTTTCGAAGATGAACTACCAACTATAGTATCATTCAAATACTGTTCATAGGCCTTTCTATTGAGATTTGCTGTTGCCAAAACTTCCCAGATTGATACTTTTTCCCATTGTTTTCAAGCCAATGATTCATGATTTCGACTTCAGATTTCCCTTTCATGTATGAAACTTTGGTCGCTTGTTGTGCAGATGGATTTGGAAATTTTGGTTTTTGTGGAATAAAATTTGAAGTTGTTTTGGAAATTCCTTTACGATATTTTTTATTGTTTTTAGATTTTCGAGCATTTTTAACTTTTCAAATATTTTCAAAGTTTCAAGCATTCTCATATTTTTGAAAAATCTCAAACTTTTGACTTGTTCTTTTTGAAGAAAATCTGTTGTTTACATTTGTTGATTTTATGAAAGATGAGTGTGAATTTGAAAATTTTTGATGACTGTGTGAATAACAATGCTTTTCAGAATTATTTGTTTGAAAAATCTTTGGTGATGATGATTTTGAAAACTTCGTTGGAAAATCCTTTGAATTTGACTTTTGATTTTCATACGAAATTGATGGAGCGGGATTTTTTTTTGTTGGGTAATTTAATTGCTTTTCATTTGTCTTAATATTCCAAAACATTCTCTTTCTTTCCTGTCTTTTTGAAATTCCTTTTTCTTTCAAAAATTTGTCAACAAGATCTTTAAATTCTTGTGAATTAAGTTTCACATTCTCATTTGTTTTACTTGATTCTTGTTTCAAAATTTCTTTTGCAACTTCTCGTTTTTCAACCCATTTTCGTTGTGGTTTTTGTCTTTGAAAAACATACGAATTCTTTGTTAGATTATTTTCGACTGTGCTTTGATTTGAAAAGAATCTTCGTATGATGTTTTCTTGTTATCTTCTTCAACCATTTTTTTGAACTATAGTATTATATTTTCAACATTCCCAGTAGTGACAAACACTTGATTCGAAAATAAAACATTATCATTGCACTTGAAATTCGGATAAACCACTGTGTTGGTTTCCAAATAGTAAGCTCCTTTGTTGACATTTTTTATTTGCAATTCTAAATACTCTACCGAATTCTCTATCCAAATTCTCTCTATCATTATTAACATTTTTTATTTGCAATTCTAAATACTCTACCCTGCTACGTTTCAAATCTAGAAGTTTTTGGGTCTCTAGTAGTTGCGTACTTAATTTCTTGGCTTCGTTACTAGCAGACACAACAATAGTATCAAAATAAGCAACAATATCATCAAATGCAACTATCTCAGAATCATAAGCTTGTAGAGGAATATTAAAATATTGAAGAATAGAACGTACCTTTGTGGTCATTGGTGGTTTTTCTCCAGATTTAATCATGAAATAATGACCAATCACCTTTTCATTCTCGTCCTTCTCAAACTATGCGAACATAGCTCCATGAGTTAGATTTCGCATTTCTTCATCATCAGAACCCGAGGACCAGATTTGATATGTCCCATCCTCTTCAGCCTCTCCTCGTGCAACCAAAGACAACCTTTTAGCTTTTGCACAAACTTCCTCCAACTTTTCAACATAATAAGCTTCGTCCTTGACTTTATTCTTCCTATCATCCTTCTTACGAAGCATACGATCATTTGCTAAATGATTTGCTCCATTGCAGTAATGACAATCAACACCTGAGTCTCCCTTAAGCTTCTTTTCATTCTTCGACTCTTTTACCTTCTCATCATTTTTCTCAAACTTTTTCTTTTCCTCAGCACCAGACTTGCTCACAAAGTTTCCCTTTACTTCACTCTGCTTCACCTTCGGATTAAACGGTTTCTTGAAAAACTTTTCCAGTTAGTTGTTCGAGTAAAATGATATCGTTTCATCATCAGAGTTAATCAAAAAACCTTCTTCATCAGACTCATCTTTCTCCTCTTCTTCCTTCTCAGATATTTTCGAAACTAAAGCTAAAGGACCTCCCAAGCTGAGTTTTGACTCTTCCGCCATTTCATTAACTTCAATTTCGTGATTTTTCAGCTGATTATACACATCATTCAACAATGAAATGTCGAAGCTTTGTTGATTCTTCTCCATCATGCTTTCACTTCTCCAGTCCTTATTAAGTCCCATAACAAAAGCAAGATTGAACTCGACAAATGACCTTGTGATTCCAAAGCAATTGCATCAATAGATTCATTCATTAAAACAATCATAGTAAACCTCAATCGTTTCATTCTCTTTTTGTGTGAACTCCTTCTGTTCCATGAGACACTGCTTAACTGAATTAATCTTCGTTTTCTCGCTTCCCTGATACTTATCCTTAAGAGTATTCCAGATAACTTTTGCAGTTTTACAACCACGAATGTAGTTGTACACAACAGGTGGCAAAGCACCTCTCAGTTCTCTCATAAAACGCTTCTCGTTGTTTTTTAGCCTTGTTGCTTGTTCTTCTATTGCAGAAGTTGATCCAGATGATCCTAAACTTTGAGAATTCGGTGGTGGTTGAACACTTCCGTTGATGCAATTCCACAACTCTTCATCCAATCCATTGAGATAGTCTTCTATACGATCCACCCATTGATCGTAGTTATCCAAAATCAACATTGGAATTTTTTTTGATGATCCAAGAAGATGAGAATACGATGTCATCGTGTTCATGTTGATGTTTGCCATTGTTCTACGGATGAGAATTTTCATAAAACTTTAAGAAACTTGAAACCGATCACCCGATTATACAATTCGAACACAAAATCTAAACAAAACTATAGATCGAAGATTATTTTCAGAATCAAAATGTGCGGAACCTTCTGAGAAAAACTTTTGTCTAAAAAGCAAACGATTCAAATGAAAATCAGATCATTGCACTTTGATTCCTGCTCTGATACCAATTGTAGTAGAATTGTAACGAGTAATCGAATGTAAATCAGAGTAATTCAAGTAATGATCAAGTAAAGAACACACGATGTAAATATGATCTGGTTTCAGCTTCTATTACTTTCAAAGAACTTAAGTACAAAATCAGATAATAGAAGTAGGAAAACTCTTTTACCTACACTCAAGTTCATACCCTATTTATTGGATACTGAAAGTACAAAATATACTAAGGGCTAAACATTAGGTTTTGACCAAATAAGTGCCTTAATAAATACATACGAAATCATAAAACATACACTTTGACTCTTTACAATATTTCAACCCTTACAATCACCCTTTAACTTTTTCTCTTTTTTCGAATATTCACCCTTATCCTCTTTCTTCTCAAACTTCTTCTCATCACTAACTTTTCCAGTGTTACTTCCCTTCATTTCACCAACTTTCAACTTTGCATTGAATGAATTATTATAAACCTCTTTACTTTGTTGTTGGAGTAAAAAGCCACCACTTTGTCATCAGAGTTGATGATATGACCTTCATCTTCAGAAATTTCCTTCTTAGTAGCTTCTATCTCACCTACTCTTCCTGACACCTTCCAAACCATTGCTAAATGGACCTCCCAAATTGATCTTTGACTCTTCAGCTATTTCATTCACTTCAGCTTTGTGAGTTATCAACAAGTTGTAAAGATCATTGAGAGTCAAAAAAATCTAAGGTTTGTTGTGTCTTCATCATTAAGCTTATATTCCTCCACTCCTTGTGAAGCCCCATTATGAAAGTAGGGTTGTATTTCATAGCAAACTTGGTAATTCCATACCTATTACACTTGTAGATGAGCTCGTTTAGATGATCATAGCATAATTCGATCAATTCTCCATCTTTTTGCTTAAACTCCTTTAATTCAATCAAACATTGCTTGATTGAACTGATTCTGGTCTTCTCACTACCCTAGTACTTTTGATTCAGTGTATTCCAAATTTCTTTAGATGTTTTGTAGGTTTGAACGTAATTATACACAATAGGAGGAAGAGTACCATGAAGATCTCTTATGCATCTTTTCTCATTCTTTCATTCTTACCCTATCTTCTTTAAAGTTTTAAGATTACCAGATGTTGATGGGAACTTGAAAAATTTGTGCCGAAGGGTTTATCGTGTACCGTTATGTATTACACGCACCTATCCATTCTCTCCCTAAATATCTTCTAATAAAAGGGTTAATGATTCACTGTATTTTCCATACATTGATAAAACTTCGACATTCTATGTTGATGGGTACACTGAAACACCAAAATGTATTACACGCATGTCTCTTCTATTGTCCTTGTTCTTTTAATAAAATGGGTTTATAATTCAGCGTAACAAACCAGACGCTGATGAAGCTTTGGAATACTATGTTAATTATTCATAGCAAAATCACATGCTATAAGGAGACATCACAATCTAAACTATGATTTCGTCATAATTCCTAATATGTTGATTCTTTCCGATGCAATCCTTATCTTCCTAACATTATGACACACCAATGTTAATGGTAACTTTTTAATGGTTACTATCATAAATTTAACTATTATTATAGGATTCGTGGATTATATGACATTCTCTCTTTCGGTTACCATTATGTGGAAAATGGGATGATTTTCCCTAAAAAAAACTTATGTCTAGATCATCTGCTTCATTGTCTCAAGTGCTGCAAATTTGTTGAAATTACTTCGAAAATCATCAATGTCTCCAATTCTTCTATTTGTCTTCATTCCTGCTACAAATGCAGTCAAATCCCAAACCAGAATGATACTAACATGAGGGAAAACATTCCTACACCTGAAACACCAACTGTTGGTCATGCAAAGAATGTCGCCTTCTCTGACACTATTACTCCTCAATATAAAAATTTAGGCATGGAAGATTTCGTCAATTTCTTCAATAGTTGTCCATTACACTATGTACTCAGGGATGTTCCTGAGCCCTTGTTCCCAAAGCAAGTGTGCGGATTCTATTATTCTTACACGGTTGATGAAAGCGGAAAAACTATCTCTAGAACTATGATCATTCTAGGTTTTACAACTCTACAACCACCATTATTCAAGTTCTTTGTCTTCATCAGATGGTGGACTATGAAAGAGCTCCTTCTAAAGCCAGATTTCGGTCGATTCTACCTCATGTTAATTATGATTTCTCTTATCTAGATGGCAAATGTTACTCTACTAAGTTTGTTCTTCTTCATAATCTTTGTACTGGCTGGAAGTATGTTACAGAAGTTGTTGGAAAATGTATTGGTCATAAAATTGGTGGTCTAGATATGTTAAATCTGTTTGAACTATGCATTCTATATGCTTTGACTCGAGAAAAGAAATTGGATTTCGCTCAACTTTTCTTTGATCAATTAGTTGAATGTATCAGCAACAAAAAGATACCAACACATGTGCCATATCTAAGATGGTTTGCTTGGCTCCTGGCACGTGCTTGTATATGATACAATGTAAATCACAAAGAATCAATTCAAATTCTTGTTCTATCCTCAACAATCATTAACGATAATAATGTCGATGGAGATCCTCATTTGTGTTATCCAACGACGGCTTGGTTTAAGAATCAATATGAATTTAAGGAATATTAGGAAGACCCTATGTCAGAGCCTGAAACAAATAATGAAGAATCCATCAATTTTTTTGATGGCATTGGCGATGATGATGAAGAGTCTGATGATGTGAAATCCATATCTTCTAATGTTGGCATTGATACTATAAAGATTGATGCTTTGGTCCAAGCTACTGAGACACAAGTAAACATTCAATCCTTACCCTCTTAGTACGACTATGGTAATGTTAGGTCCAGTTTTGACCTACCATCTTCAAAATATCCACTTCCTATCAGTATTCCTCCTTCAAGTCTAAACAAGCAGATACGATTTCCATCATCTTATCCTTCATCCACTTCTTCTTCCAATGTTTCAAAGCAAGAACATCCTTTACCTCAAGTTCGCAGTTCTCTTTTTACAGTCAATCTAAGTTCAATCTACCATATCTTCACATCATCCTAACAGAGATTTAAAGAATACATTGTCAAGACAATCATACTCATCGCTTCAATCATGATTCATGACACCTTCGAGTATAGTCTTAACGACTCTCATAACATGAAAGTCATAAATATTATAACTATATAACTCATTTGTTATAAATACTACATTGTTTAACCTCTTTTATTTTTGGTAAATATGAGATTTAGAGTCTATCTGCAATACTTCAGTGAATAAGGGAATTCTTCTCTTCTTACGTTGTGATATGTTTGACATGCTTAATCTTGTTTGTGTTTTCTTTTATAGACAAATGTTGCAGGTTAGATTTATTGGAAGAAAGAAAATCATTAATGACCCTTCCATTCATAGGATCTACAAAATCTAGATCTTTATCATTCTTTTGAAAAAGCTGCACATTTCCTTTTTGATTTATTCTTCTTTGACTATTTTTTTTACATTTATCTATTTTCTTACTCTGACTTGTACCATGTTAATAAAATTAATTATGAATCCTTGATTCTAGACTACAACTTAATTCTATGATAAGGAAGTTAAACCACTTCTTGTTGACGAGCTGACACTGTTTATGATTCACGTTGATTTTACCTCAACATGATTGAAACATTCCATTTCTATCCCACAAACCTTCTCCATAGAAATTAATGATTCACTATGAAATACCAGACACTAATAACATGTTTGAAAAATCTACGCCAATGGTTAGACTAGGTATCTAGTTTATCACACACACCAACCTGCTCTTACCATACTTCTTCATTAAAGCTTTATGATTCGGGGTATGAAACCATACACTGATGAGAACTAGAAAGCACTATTCCGATGGTTAAGCAATGTACCATTGCTTATCACACGCACCGATCCATTCTTTCCCTATCTTATTTAAACTTCTGTGATTACCATATGTTGATGAGAACTTGACAAATCTGTGTTGATTGGTATATCGTGTACCATGATGTATTACATGCACTTATTCATTATCGCCCTAAAAATCTTATAATAAAGTAGTTAATGATTCATTGTATTTTCCACTAACTGATAAAACTTCGATGTTCTATGTCGAAGGGTACACTAAAACAGCAAATTGTATTACACACATCTCTCCTTGCTTATCCCTATTCTTCAAATAAAGGGAATGTATGATTAAGTGTAACAAACCATACACTAACAAAATTCCACAATACTAAGTCAATAATTTGAAGTAAAATCACATGTTATTAGGATACATCACAATCGTAACTATGCTTTCACCACAAACCTGATATGTTGATTCTTGTTGCTTCTATGCTTGTCTTGTTGGCCTTATGAAACACCAATGTTAATGGTAACTTTTTAATGGTTACTATCACAAATTCAACTGTTATTGTGGGATTCAAGGATTTTACAACATTCTCTCTGTTGGTTACTGTTACGTGGAATGTGGGATGATTTTCAATAAACGGATCATATCCTGATAATCTTATTCATTGTCTCGAGTGCGGCAAAATTGTTAAAATTACTTCGATGATCATCAATGGATCCAAATCTGTAATTTTTCTTCATTCCTGTTGCAAATGTAGCCAATTCCCCAAATATTCATGAAACACCAAATATTTTTCAAGCAAACAATGATGCCGTCTCTGACACTATTCCTCCTCATTATGAAGATTTGGGAATGGAAGATTTCATCAATTTCTTCAAGATTTTTTGCATTGTGCTATGCACTTAGTGATGTTCCTGGGCCCTTCTTCCTAAAATAAAAATGTGAGCTTTAGTATTCTTGCACTATTGATGCATGTGGCCAAACTATCTCTGGAACTGTTGGAAATGGTTATTTTAGGGTTCCCATCTCTACGACCACCATCTGTCAAGTTCTTCGTCTTCCTCACATGGTGGACTATGAAAGAACCCCTTGTAAATCCAGATGCCTATCAATTCTACCTCATCACAATTAGGATTTCTCTTATCAGTATGGCAAGTATGATTTAACTTAGTTTGTTCTTCGTCAGCTTCTTCCTACGAGCTGGAAATATTTTACATGAGTGATTGGAAAATGTTTTGGTCATAAAATTTTTAGTCTAGACCAGTTAAATCTGTTTGAACTATGCATTATGTATGCTTTGGTTCAATAAAAGAAATTGGATTTCGCTCAAATTTTCTTTGATAAATTGGTTGAATGTACCATCATCTGTTCCATATGCAATATGGCTTGCTCTGCTCTTGGAAGACGTTGGCGTGGGATATAACTTAAATCACTTAGAATCTATTCCAACTAATGTTCTATTGTCAAGAATCATTACCATTGATCATGTCGATGGAGATCCTCAGTTGTCTGATCTAATGTTGGATTGGATTGAGAAACATATGAAGTTTAGGAACATTAGGGAGAGCCTATATCAGATCTAAAAACTAGTAATAAAGAATCCATCAATTCTTTAGGTGACACTGGTGATGATGATTATGAGTCTGATGATGAGGAATCCATATCTTCTAAATGTTCAATCCTCACCATTTCTCTACAACTTTGGTAATGTTGGGTCCAGTTTTGATCTACCATTAGTAGAATCTCCACTTCCTGTCAGTGTTCCTCCTTCAAGTCTAAACAAGCACAAGCAATTTCCATCATCTTCTCCTTCCAAGGTTTCAAAGAAAGAACAACCTTTACCTCAAGTTAACACTTCTCTTTTACAGTCAATCCATGTTCAATATACCGCTAAAATTCCTTTATCACCTCCACAACAAGTTTATGTTTCTACCCCTCTGATCTCTACTCTTTATACTACTACTACTTTTCATGGGGAGTCTAGCTCTTTAAACTTTCAAGCATCAGTGCTTTCTCAACTTAACGTTATGGTTAACTTAATAGAGTCCTTATGACAACAAATTGGTAAAATAAAAGCTAATGTGGCAAATATTAAATGCCTCACAACCATTATGGACAATACTGAATAGGCTGGTGATTCTTCTAAGAACTCCCCACAATAACTAACAATGATAAACCGAGAGAGTTCTTTCTAAGAAGGAGATTGTATTTGTGTCTTGTTGAACTTCATTCTATGATGATTCAATGCCTCCCGTAGATACTGTTGTTGCCAAAATGGGGGAGATTCATACACCTTCTCAGAGTGAGCTATAGACAAAGGTTTTCAAAGTATTTCTCAGAAGCACTCATTTAATTAGGGGCAACTCAAGTATGTAACTAAAAAAAATTTGACGATTATTTTTGACATCATGAGATAGGGGGAGATTTTACAGTCAACCCTTAAGATCTGATGATTCAAACACCTTTCACACGATTTCCACCAACACCAATGCCAACATCTACATTGCATCAACGACTGCCTGATAGTTTTGTATAAAGTTAGATTATTTTGTATATTAGTTGGTTAGATACTTTGTGATTATAGATACCTTTATATTTATATAATAGATATCTGCTCCACAATCTTATAGATATGGATTAGACTATATGTAGATTAGACTACATCCCTAAAATGAAGGGATTTATTTTTATTGTAATCTTATATAGTCATCCATTAGGGCTAAACCCTAATGTATCTTGGTGATCTCCTTTGTGACTGCTTTGTGCATCGTTCTCTTTGTGAGAACACTTTTCTTAGTGAAAAACCATATTTGTGATAATCGTTGTTCTTCTATTGTCTTTTTTCTGTCACCCTTCTTTGTGTTTATACTTGTTTGTATCCGATCAAGTGAACCTTCAATTTATAACCATTAAATCACTAGAGCTAGAGATTGACCATTTCCAAGTATATGTAATAAAGTTAGTTGCTTAATTGTGTCAGAGAGCATTATTTGACCATAATAAATGCTTGTTTTTCTGAATTACCCGTAAGAAGACAAAATTAGATCTAGTCATTCATATCCCAAATATTCAACAAAATCAATTAAGTGTCCTTAGTCTACATGATCATTGTGATTAAGTGGCACTAATTGAAGTAAGCTAATTGGTCTAAGAGTGAATACTAGTAATTATAGAATTGGCAACCAACAGAAGTAATACATAGTCGAAACTACTCATAAGAAAAGATAGGGGATACGGATCTAAACGAAAGTCTCTTAATTCTTCTGATTGAAATTTATTTTTAGTTATTTTCTACTTAATAGTTAATTAAGTTTTTCTGAACGTGAAAATCAGAGAAAAATCTCCTTTCATCAGTTTTTAGTTTAATAATTAGATTAAATTTTAGCATTTTTAACTTCTAAATTAACTCCATTCCTTGTGTTCGACACAATACTTACTTTATTACACTACTATGTGACTATGTACACTTCCCTAATGGTGTAGTGATTTTTGTTAAAATAAGTTCAACTTTAAGTATAATTTGATACAAGAAATTACAACATCACGTTTTTTGGCGTCTTTGCCAGAGAGTGGTTGTTTAACTAAAGTTTTCAATATCAATTAATTGGTCCTTTTGTGGGGTGAAATTCGTAATAAGTTAAATTTTTGTTTAAACTCGGTTATCTGTAAAGGAAGTGACCGCAACATGGTGATTCACTATCTACAGTGTAGTAACTGGAAGTGTAGTTATCAATTTATTTAGTTTTTATTAAATTTACATGTTTGTTCTTGTTTTGTTTCAGTAGCACATGACCGTGGATTTAGTTTTCAGATTTTGCCACCACTTGATGATCCAAAATCTGCATTTCACAAGAAAAAGAACAAAAAAGTCGAAGAATCAAGTAGCAATTTAAAATCCAATAAATTTTCAACATTCAAGAAGACTCTTAACAAGAAGGTAGAAGGACACGAACTAGGAACAAAAAGCAATTCAGAAGAACACAATCCAAGCGAAAGAAGAGAACATAGAAATACAATGGGACACATAATGAAAATGAAAATGGAGGAGTACAAGAGGCGGATAGGGGATGACGTCAGTCCAAGCATTGTGACACCAAATATTCCAGCCAAAGTGAACTTTGAACTTAAGTGACATATCTTCAATGTGCTAAAGGATATCTTGTTCTTTGGAAAGTACCATAAAGATGCGTACAAGCACATTCAGGAGGTTTTGGAAATAGAAAATTATTTCAATTTGCCAAACGTTTCTAAAGATGTAGTTATGTTAAGAATGCCTCCAATCACACTAAAAGTCACGGAAAAGGTTGGAGTCACTAGCACCAGGAGCCATCACTACATGGGATAGGATGAAAGAAGAGTAAAGCACGCTAAGCCAAGGATCACATGTTCCAAGGAATTTGAAACTTTCACCTTTACTAATCCTCATAAGAAGAACAAGGATTAAAAGGATCTTAAGGACAACAAGAGGAAAAGTTCTAAAGAAGATACCATAAGCAAAAAGATATGGAAAATACTAAATACAGGAGTAAAACGAAAACATGAAGATAATACTAATAAAAAAGACAAGGATGAATTGAAGAGGGCATATTGGCAGAGATTTGTTGCTTTCAAGAAGAGGAGGCTAGCGATGCAAGGATTCAAGGAGATTCCGCTCTTACCAAAGAAAAAGTAGAGTGGATGGTATCCGAGGCTGATTAGGTTTTTCTTTCTTTCTTTATTTTTCTGATATTTCAGGATAGTTTTCAACTTTTTACCTTGAACATCTGTCATTTCGTTCTCTAAATTTTCTTAAATGTTGGATTGTGGTAATTTGGTTTAGAAAATTAGTTTAAAATGGGAGTTTTATACTCACCATGGCATCGTTCACACTTTCCCGTGTCATGGCCGAACAATTTTTCATGTTTTTCGTAAAGCTAGAGCTTTACCACAAAATGGCTAGTTTGATGCCATGATGTGATCTTTGACCCTGGTGAAAAAAATAGCCTTCAAACTTAGAGATTTACTTTTCACTTTTCCTACCACTTTCAAATCCCATGACATGTTCTTCATAATTTGAGTCGATTTCATCAAAATGGTCCATTAATTTCTCAAACTTTTGAAATCAATCTTCTCCAAAAGGTATGTGTTTCCTTCTTATGCTTTCCAACTTTAAATTTAGGTTCTCATCTACATGAGAATGTCAAGATTCTTGAATTTAGTTGGCATCCAATTTTTTTTTTTTGGTATTTAGTCATTTTACGACGAACTTGTTAGCTAATGTTTCAAACCCATTGATTTTAAGTGAAACCTTTGACTTTAGGGATGGATTTTACGCTGAGTAATCGAGGTTTTCTAGATTATTTCTTCATCCATGGTGCGGCTTTTTGATCTGCCACGACGTGGAAACTAGGCACATCCATTTTTATTCCTAATTTCTAAAGAATTTGAGTTTTTTTTGCCTTTTGTTGTTTTTTTCTTTTGCGGAAGATGAGATCTAAGAAGTCTTCCAATTATCAGGTAGGATGGGATTTTCAAATGGATCCACAAGCTTGCTAATGCTTTGAATACCCTTCACAAATTGAGAATGAAAACTTGGAGTTTTATCAATTCAGATTCAACAAATTGAGGAAAAGGGAAATCATGGGAGCTCCAATTATACATTGGAAATGGGTAGAAGATTCAGGTCTTGCTGTAGAAATTCAACCTCTTTTAACAAAAGTCCACATATGGAAAAATTATTGCTTCATTTGCAATTGTTGGGAACAATTATTCAAAATTCAAGAACCGGTTTTTAAGGAGCTTTGTGTGGAATTCTTATCCACAACTATCTTCAACTTTAATGGGGATGTGAATGGCAAGGGAGCCCTTAGTCTTCAGCTTGGATGAAAAGACTACGAGTGCTCGATTGTTGAATTTTCTTGGAGAAGTGAAATTTATGATCATTTGGATGCTATAACCCCAACGTTTACAACTTTTCTGAAGGAGTCATTTGTTGATTTACCAATAGAACTATTTGTTTAACACCTTTGGTTTTCTTTAACAAATGATACATAAAACATGGATCATATACTGGCAAGACTTATAAAATCTCCAATGCATAGATTCATTCATAAGATGATCACCTTTTTTATCAAATAAAAGGAATTCGAGGATAGATTTAAAGAGAGAGATCTTTTCTTTTTATTGAGCATTCTGAATTCGGTGATATCTTGTTATATCTCGTATCATTTGGATTTATTGCTTACTGAGAAAGTAGTCAATATGCATTCTAGACGACCCATTTGTGGAGGTCATTTAGTGACAAAGTTAGCTTGATCTTATGGGATATTGGAAGAACAACTACTTGAGATGCTTTCAGAGATTGAAGGTTGTTTACTGTTGCCCCAATTTTTTCTAGAAGACAGAATCATTTGCGACATAAGAGAAGATCACTATTCAGTACCAATGGATGACACAATTTGGATGATTAAAGAATCTAGAGTTCAAAGAACGCAATTTGGGAGTGGGAACAAGAGGAAGAAACATCCTCGAGAAGAAGAAATCCTGATGGAACCTTTTCAAAAGAAAGTTGGATTGTACTTAGACAATTTGAGGGTACAAGTTGTAGGGAGTCAATGATATGGGATCACACACAAGTAGAGGACATAGTGATGACAAGGACGAACGATGACTATCCTATTATTTTTTATTTTTTTTGTTTTTGATGTGTTAAATGAATTATACATTTGTTTCTTTGCTTCACTCTAGGAATTTTCTCTGATTGGTTTGAGCATATTATAAATTATCGTATGAGAGAGAGGTTAGCTGAGAGCAAGAGTAGACATAGAGAGCCACATTTTTTCATAAGTGTGGGATGTGGATAAAGAAGTCATTTTGAGAAAACATAACAACTTAGGTTTCATTTCAAGTTGTTTTCGACAATTGCCACAACATGGTCGACACATTCCCATGACGTGGAGGTTTCATAAATCATGATAGGATATAGGCATCCTGACTGCCATGACATGGTCACCATTCGCCACGCCACATGGGATTGTTTATTTGAAAATGTATTTTGAAATTCTTCTCTGTGCTT